AAGAATATATCGACATATAAAAATCCGCCTGCTGTCGATTCAACCAACGAGGAAACGAACGTACTTGACTTCATAATCTAACAACACGAACAAGCTTCATAAAGAGAAAGTCTCTGATACACGAGGATGCATAGATATCAGCTGATAGAAACAAAGGTCGAGAAAGAGCTCCGCGATTAGTTACTGAAGATGGATATGAATGTACAAAGCTACATGATAGAGACACGCACTAATGTAAAAGTGACAGGAAGATTAGTTATGAGTCACGCGACATCAATTTCATCGTCAAACACAAATTTTTTTTTTTTTTTTTTAATTTATCTTAGTAAGATATACACTTGCCTCTGTTCAAGTATCACGCAGCGTCAGGCTCCCACGAAGTGATGGCCAATTTCCAGCGAGCTTGCTTCGACGATACAAATGTCACCGACTTTGATACATGCACAAAAACGACTATGTTTTGGCAGTGGTTCGCGGCATGTTCTTCCGGCATGAGGCCTGCGACGAGGTTAAATGGACATTGACATGTGCGCGATAGGGAAAACACTGAAAGACGGCACCCACGCACTATTCGGAGTAAATTGTCAGAAGAACGAGGCCGAAGTTACGAACCGAACCACCGATCATTCCGACCACTACAGGCCAAGTGTAGCACCGCACTGACTGCTCTCGCCGTTCACCAAGGCGATAAACAAACTCGTCGCCTCTCCCTCGCGAGTTTGCCCTCCTTCTCCTATCTCGTGTCTTTCTCTCACCAACTGTTTTACTATCCCGCTTCCGCGGACAAACGCCGATTGCCGTGTGCTGCTGAGCAAAATTTCGGTCTTTCTCGCACCGCGGCGTTGGCAATATGGTATGATCTCACTCTCATCACTCTATCTCACTCACACCACTATTGGACGTCTCTGTTACTTTCCTTCTCTCTCCGCCAGTGCTCCGTTTAAGGCACAGTGCTGCCACCACACTTCGTCCTCACTAGCGCATCGCGTCGCAGCTTGTCATCTGACGTTCTCGATTTTCTGACATGTTGCGAATACGTGGATCAAATCGAACGATATTCGGCGACCGAGAACGTTTACAGTTTTGAGAAAACGTGATGTCACTCGCGAGAATGGTGAACAAGACACATTTATGATGGCTCCATGACGCGACAACGCGATGTACGACATGTTTTGAGCCACTGACAGTCTACACTGGACCAGGAACTGTATTGAGGGTGCTGGTGCCACCTTCTGCGATCAATCGCAAAGTGATTTGGTTTGAAGGAAGAAGACTCTTTCATTTTTACAGCCAAAAGTGCTTGAACTTTGAATTGATATTTATGTTTGGTGAAACTATTTACGGCTGTGACGAAATATTTGAACAAAAATTTAGTTAAATTCCCTATATTATCTTCCGCGGATCACAAAGAATATCGCAAGCATTATATTTTCACAAAAATTTGCAGGAATATTATTTTTCTTTGGAAACTTAATTTTGAAATTCAGATAAAATTTTCGAATTTCGTAACTTTTAATTCTTTTTATTTATCATCTGCAAATAAATGAAGTTTCTAACGATAAACTCAATGTAGATTCTAGATGTCTCTAATGTAGCTTCTGAAACAAGTAAAACAAACGTGGCGGTAGTGTGTCTCCTCCATTTTGGTGTATCTCATTTTGGAGTAGCATCATGGTGCGTATATTTAATAGAATCTATAAAAAAATCTGTAAAAAAAATGACGATCCCTTATCAAGTGCATAAACGAATTATCTAGCAATGTATTGTAAATTATATTGTATAGAAAAATTAAAATATTTATGGTTCAAATGTGCTATAACAAATGATTGTGGTTACGAATGTTTGAGGTTACGAGAGTGTGCTTTGAATGTGTTTTTGAATATTTCATTTTTAAAAGAGTGAAAAATGCAATGAGCAGAATGTATCAGAATACAAATATGATTTCAGAGTCGCGTCAGGACAAAGACGGTCAAAAAGGCCGCGAAACTCATCATTGAGAAATACTATACTCGACTAACTATGGATTTCCATACAAATAAAAGGATATGCGAAGAAATCGCTATTATTCCCAGTAAATCTCTGAGAAATAAAATCGCTGGGTATGTATTTACAAAAAAAAAAAGTGTTTCTTTGGTATAAAAACATCTTTCAGGATAGTTTTGTAAAATAACAAATTTCATAACCTAATGAATTTAATATTTATCTAAGTCTTAACTTTATCTTTCTTTCTTCTATTGTTTTTAACAGATTTGTTACGCACTTGATGAAGCGTCTTAGACACAGCCAAGTACGTGGTATTTCCATCAAACTTCAAGAAGAAGAAAGGGAACGCAGGGACAACTATGTTCCTGAAGTGTCTGCTTTAGAGCATGATATCATAGAAGTTGATCCAGAAACTAAGGAAATGTTACAGATGCTTGGTTTCAACAACATTCCAGGCCTTCAACTCACACAATCTCAATTGCCACCATATAGCAGACGTTCTTAAAATTTATTTCTTTATATTGAATAAGACTGTTAGTATTGCATTTTTTAATAAAACTGCAAGCTGACATTCTAAAAGTTCATTCGATTGATTTATTCATTTGTACATTTTATGTATGTACACATATTGATTTCTTTATAACAGACTGTTGTTGTGCAGACTATTATTAATGCAGAACAAAGTGTATTAATACTTTCAATTTTGTACACTAAAGTCAGTACAATTCTTTATATATACATTTATATATACATACTATAACAGAAACATGTTTCATGTAAAAGAAAGTACAAATTATTTAATTTCAAAACATAATGTATAAAATATGAAAAATATGATAATGTGCGAAAGTCGGCTATTATATTACTTTGTTTCATATTGTTGCATATTTCATTATTAAAATGAATTTTTTCGTTTACTTTTCTCAATATTTAGTAAAACGTTATTTAAAAATGTCAATAGTAACTTTCTTTTACATTACTTTTTTTTTTCATAGAATGAAGTTAATATTCTCAATCAGAAGTTTATCAAATTCATAATAGATTTGTCATTTTATATTATATTACAGATGGTAGAAATAGTCGTAACATTATATTCAGAGTAACGAAACTGTGGAAAAAAGAACATTACTGCCGCGGAAGTTCTGCATTATCGATCTCTCGCTCCAATTATAATTATATATCAAAGTTATATACAGCGCATTAAAAGCACGTACTTCCAACGTTAACCATTTTCGCTTTCTCTCGCACTCGAGTCTCGTCGTTTCGAATCGCAAACATATAGAGGCCGAGCAATCCTATATCTCGTATCGTATTTTGCTAGCGATACCACGGCTCAAATTGCGAAAACGCAGAATACCATATCGAATATATAGTTCGTTACTTGGAAATATTTTGCGAGATAACGGGGCTCGGTATACATGTACGCGACTGCATTGGCGGTGAAATGCGTCCGTCGCCCTTCCAAAGGCGCCCACGCGGTTGGGCCGGACCTGGACAAGTTGTTCAGAGGCTGCGCGACCTAGCACGATCCAAGGCTAGGTAGCCTAGCACAACCTGGT